GCGACGGGGCCGCTGTCACGTGATGGCGGCGGCCAATGGCGGGCGGCGCCTTCGCCGCTGAGGGAACCCGAAAATGGCGGCGGAGCCGGGGGTTGGGCTGGCGCCGGGCCTGGCCCACGGCGGGACTCGGCGGCGGCCCGCCGGACACACCGGGCCCCTCAGGGAGGGACCTTCTCTCCCCTCACAGGGGCTTTCCGCCATGGCCGGGGCCGCCCCCAGCGCACACCCACGCTCTCCCCACACTCACAGAGTCATCTGGGTTGAAAGGGACCTTCAAGATCATCCAGTCCAACCATCAACCCAACACTGCCAAACCCACCACGGACCCACGTTTCTCATCACCACGTGTGCAGGCTGTTAAATCCCTCCAGGGATGGTCACTCCACCACTGCCCTGGGTAGCCTCTTCCAAGGCTTCACAACCCTTTCAGTGTCAAAATTGTTCCTAATCTCCAATCTGAACCTCCCCTGGTGCAACTTGCGGCTGTTTCCTCTTGTCCCATGGCCTGTTCCTTGGGAGAAGAGACCAACCCCCCCTGGCTACACCCTCCTTTCAGGGAGTTGGAGAGAGCGAGAAGGTCTCCCCTCAGCCTCCTCTTCTCCAGGCTGAACACCCCCAGCTCCCTCACACTCCTCACAAGATTTGTGCTCCAGACCCCTCACCAGCTCCGTTGCCCTTCTCTGGACACACTCCAGCCTCTCAATGTCCTTTCTGTAGCGAGGGGTTCAAAACTGGACACAGTACATGGCCTCTGGTGCCAGGTGACACCATGGTTGCCAGAGAATCTCCTCACAGGGGAAGGGTTTCTCTCTTGTCCTCCCTGTGGAGGACAAGGCTGGGCAGGATCATCCTCATCAGGCCAACAGCAAACACCCACTGGCCTGTCCTCACAGGAGCTCAATGAACAAGACATGATAGAGCTTTCTGAGGAAAAGCAAGCATCCAGAGGACACCAACGTGTCTGTGAATTCGTATGTGGCTGAGCACCCTCCTTCCAAGAGATGAGGACCTGCTGGGTACTCAGTCCCAAGAGTGGAGATGTGCCCTTCAGTGTTGAAGGGGGAGTGGGCTTGTGCTGAGTTCTGGCACAAGCTTAAACCCTTAGCAATCACTTAAATCCTTAATGAGAACTCATTCCTTGGTAATCCAAGCTTACAAGATGTCTGCCTGGACAGCAGAGAAGCTGGAGTGGCAAGGAACTTGGCAGAGAAGTGCTGCAGGTACCTCTGAAACTATGTTCTGGGGGACCTTTGCTGAAGACCGCGTCACCTCTCCCAGGCACTTCTTGTGTCACTAAACGACGAGCAGCTTATACACAATGCCTCCAAAAGAAATGTTATGCTGGAATGATCTGAAAAGCAAACAAGGACGTTAGAAATGGACTTGCAGAACAGCTCCAGACCCCTTGAAGAACTGCAGGAAGGATTGCTCTCCGGTTTAGCCTTTCCGTATCGGAACGCTGGCACTGCAAGCACAATACCTGGGCTGTGCTGGCCCAGCAGTTGCCACTCTGCACGTGAAACTGGCCCCCCCATGGGTCTTGGCTGTGGCAGAGACCACGGTGATGGATCCCACCCACCCAGGGAAATCACTAAGGCAGGGTGGCATAAGCAGACACACAGAACTGTGCCTGAGAAAACAGCTCTCTTCCACATGCAAGATTATTATACAAACATCTGCAGCAGAGCTTTTCAGAATAAACCAATTCATTCTGAAAAAGCTATTTTTTTTCAAATATTTTTTTTCCATACCCAAACTGACATGGTGTAGCTGCAAAGGAGTAGCCACCATCAATCCCACAGACCATTTGATTGTCACAGGGAATTTAGAAACAGTGGTTTTCAGAGCTCACAAAGTGCATCTCGGTGAGGCAGAAGCTTTGTGCAACGCCAGTAATGTGTCTCCTTTCTTTAACTTAAAAATAATACCTTAGTTGAAAAGGTATTTTTTTTCCTGTGGCCTTGGAAGTGTTAAAACAAAGAGAAGTAGCGAAATATTTTTGAGAGCTGTTACTACACAGTTGGAAATAAAAAATGATGACAATGTATTTTCCAAGACAAATGAGCCTGCATTAGGAAGGTAAGAAAACACAGAAATAGATACAAATCCGACTGTTTGGCAACCCGTTACCGCTGGCAGATGGCAACGCCAGCGTTCGCTCGGGGACGCAGGCTTTGCTTACAGATAAATGAAGCAGGGAAATGAATAATTGCTTTTGGTTAATTTGCAGTGTATGTCAGATCTGCCCTTGCGCTCTTGAAGGCTGTAAAAGATTTTTAAATCCTTTTCTCATCATCTGAGAAAAGTTTTAGAATTACAAAGGGAGACACTTGGTCAGCCTCAGCAACAAGGAGGCAGAGCGGTCAGCTCCGAACCCCGGCGGCGCAGATGTGATATTTAAAGTCATCTTTCCACATTAGGCAAAGACTGCCCCATTGCAAGGTTTAAAGGTGACAAAACCAAGAGGTTGGAGACATTTCACTGACTATAATTCAGGCTTTTTTCATAACATGCTGAACACATTTTTCTAACACAATGCTATTAGAACGATTGTAATTTATATCTGCTGCACTGTGCCGCTGTGTTCATTGAAGGTTAAGATGCAATAAAAAATTAATTGCAAAATCTGTGGTTGTAAATACACGTCTTGCCTAAAAAGAGAGCAAAGAAGCTGGGAAAGGATCTTATTTTTTTTCCCATATTAAGCCTGGTGAGTAGGACGGAAGCTTTTTCAGAGTATGAAGTGTGTACTTGAGAAATACAGGGTACATTGAGGGAAACAACATTTCCTAGAACGCCACTTAAGGCAAACCTTGTCCTTTTCACGTTACAAAGTCATCTCCTGGCAGCTCTTGCACAAGGAGGAGAGGGAAGGAAAAGTGATGTGACTGCCAAAGGGAGAAAAACATCCCAAATTCCTGAAAATTCACCAGATGTGGTGAAAGGCTTTGCTAGGAGGTCCCCCCACCATTAAACACATCACCAGACACCTGACAGAGAAGAGGAGGATCATAAGTGGTCTCCCATTTTCCCTTCACCAGGATCCCACTGGACCATTCCCCCCAGGTCTCCCTTACCTTTGGCCAGCTTGTCTCTCTCCAAGTAGCCAATTCAGCCGCTGCTGGGTGATCACTCCCACTCCACCTCTCCTTGCTGCTGGGTGCCTGTGACAACTCCTCTTCCTCCAGTCCAGGTGCAGTCTGTGGACTCCACTGCTCTCCACTAGACCCAACGTTGCCACTTAGAACCCCCCCCAAGTCTGTCATAAGACATTATTTCTATTTTATCATTGTCTTACAAACTGTTTATTGTGTATAACAGAAATCAAATAAAACCAAGGATATACTTTATAAAAAATAGATTTTTTTTATAAGTTCCAAATATATAAATACGTTTAGAAATCTGGCTTCTTTTTTTGAGTGATGTCCATTTTGTTGAGTGAGACTCTTTGCAGACTCAGAACTGCCAGAACAGACATAAGTCAGAAGATGTTGAGAAAGTAAATATATAAAAGATGACAATTTAGGGTCCGAGACTTCCCCAAGAGTCCCAGACAGTTTGCAACCCAAGATCAGTCCAGTTTGGAAATGAGACTGGTCAGAGAAGTGGGTTTAGATGAGGTTGTAAGAAGTGCTGAAGAGATCCGGTGGGGACTGTAATACTGTCTTCTCAAAAACATCTCGCTGAGGACGACTCCAGCGACGCTGACAAGGTAGAATGGTGCTTGGAAAAGGGAGCAGACGCTGTGTTTAACACAGATCCAGCACGGAAATGAACACACAGAACCGAATGTTCGAACCTAAAGGGCTGTCAGGTGACACCTGGTGTCAAGAGGGCACTTTTGGGAGCCATCACAAAGAGACCAGAAAAACACCTCTGCTGTTTTGCAGCCATTTAAGAAACGCAGATTGAGGAGTTTTACCAGAAATTACAAACTGAACCGAGGACAGAAGAAAGGCATTGTATTTCCACAAGGATCCCTGCCTTAACAATCAGTGGGGCAATCACACGCTGAAGAAAAGAAGACAGAAGTCCCTGGGCTCTAAACAGAGCTTTACACAGGGGAAAGGGGACCAATTTCTTGCAGGCAAGTTATTCTAGTGAATGGAATTTGAAGGGTGAAGCATTTTACAGCCCAAGGCGAAGGGAAAAGTCTTGGAAGTGTCACTGGGGGAAGCACCTGTCTTTAGAAGCACCACCAAGTCGGGGACTTAAAACCTCTTAGAAAAACAGAAAGGAAAGAAAAGGCACGGGAAAGAAAATCGGGGGGAAGATAAGAGGCTCCAGATGACCTATGTGCTGAAGGCACTGGAGGAATGTGCAATTAGGGCCGTTCTCCAGCGTGTCATCTGAGGGCAGGCCACAGGGAGGAGCAGTGCACCCACGGATCAGAGCACCGCTGCTAGCACCAGCCTGGAACGGGGCTTCCAGCTTCTCCGAAGGCCTCCATGCACAACATTTTCAGGAGGGAGGAGGAGTGGGCTCCATTCAGTATCGTCTCCTCCGTTTTTTGTTCCCTTTTCTATTCTGTTCCTTCTCTTTCCGGGCTCTGGCTGTGGTAAACGTGATACAGTGAGCATCTAAAAAATCCAGCAGCTTTGCCTTGGAAATTTTAATGCCGTTCTGTTTCAGCTCCGCGTGCAGATCAGCCAGCTCAATTGGCTCATAAAAGAGAATCCTGCGGTACAGGGCTGTGTTTGAACGGATGTAGCACCTTACTGCCTCCAGCTTATCTTCCTCCCGAGCTGCTGCCTGAGATGCTGGAAGCTGCTCCTCCTCTTCCTCCTCCTCCTCGGATGCACAGGCTTCAAATCCCTTCATAAAAGAACTAAAAGCAAGATCAAGTAGACCAGAGATCAAAGAAAGAAGAGACCATCAAGGACAGGACCAGAGCTCCCCAATTCCTTGGTGGCCAACCCCTGTGATCAACCCTCTGTAGGATC